TATCTACTGCTTTAACGGGAAATACCCAAATCGGTATAATCAACTTTAGAAAAGACCATTGTTAATGAAAATATGTATAGTTCTTACATTGCTGATTTTGGCTTATGTAAACCAGTGTCACAAGACTCAAGTTCTAAGGCACTTTTTGGTGTGCTTCCCTTATTGCACCAGAAGTATTATATACAAATGGAAAGGAATACACAGAAAAATCAGATATATATTCTTTCGGAATAATTATGTCAGAAGCTTTTACTGGATATCCTCCATATCATGATATTCCGCACAACGAAGTTCTAACAATACGTTTATAAACCTAAAATTACTGTACTTTTGGATCTGATGAATAAATGCTTAGACGCAGAACCTCAAAACCGGCCAGCTGCAGAAGAATTAGCCTATACGCTGAATCAATTTTTTGTTGATTTCAAAAATAAAAAACCGAATTATATCAGCAAGAAAATTTCTTAACATATGATCAAGTCAAATCGACACGATTCAAATATCAGACACATTCACAAGCTATTTATACAAGTCGATTCTTAAATCTTTCAAAACTCCCTAAACCAGGTAAAACACTTGTTTATATTTTTAAAAAGTTAGTAATATGTTATTAATTGTAAAAATTTCCGAATCTGTCAATATAGTAAATGCAGGTAATGATACGTATTTATTTTTAAATTGGATTTTAACTGTAGTTTTAATATATTTATATGTATATATTTTAGCAAGTCAACCTAATCAATGTGTTGATGATTTTGAAGTTCCAGATGGTAAGATTTGATTTACTTATAATGAACCAAATTTATCGCTTATTTTTATATTGTTATTTAGATTATTAAATCAAGTAAAAAGAAGTTATTAAATTATAAGTATTATGTACGTACCTAAATAGAAACAAAATTTCGCCGACAATTGTTCTGCTAACAGTTGGCCTGATTTACAGGATAGATATAGATTGTTGAATTGGTGGTTAGCAGGTTCTACTAAAAACGCCATATAATAAAAATTATATTGTATGAATTTATTGAAATAATAAATATTAATCTACTTCTAAATTATCGTTATTACTGCTGTTGATGGTAGCCTTGTTATTTTAAATAATATATGGATGTATTTTATAAATTTTTTAAAGAAAAGCTATAAAATTAAAATCTAATATTAAGGCCAACAGTTTCTGTTTCCTAGTATATGTTCACACAATTTCGTTTCCATGTTTCTAGTGTCACGGGTTAAACAGTCTCATTAAACAAACGCGAAAAGAACGTAATATTAAGCGAAACTTACATTTGATGTAAAAATATAAAAGTGTCGTAAAGTGCAAAACTTTTAGGTTAAATAATGTATTAAATAAAGAAAAACATAATTTCTCGAAAGATTTAAAACTTTTTTTTCAATTTACCATTTCATGCCTCTGGAGAATTTCCTAAATTCTCGTTTGTTATACTGTATTGAATTCCGTTTGTAACATTGGCTGCTATTAGGAAAAAATTTCTTCAGAGTATTTAATGTCGTCTGGTGTGTGTGTTACACATTCAGCAACAGAAGATAAATCGATGTTAATGTGCTCACCTCTTCAAACGCCTCATTTTCTATCAAACCAAGCTAATCAATTGAATTTTTTCTATTATTGTGTGTGTTAATTTCAGTATATAAGAAACTCGTATTTTTACGGAAAATCACGGGTTATACATCCAATTTTTTTAAAAGTGCCAAAATTTGAGATTTATACTCAAATCTGATTGGCTATTTCGTGTAACAAGATTCTGATTGGTTAAAAATCTTATTAAACGCCAAAATTTTGATTACATATAAACTTTAGGCTCTAATAACTTTTAAATTTATAATAAAAATAAAAATCTGTCTTACAGAATTGTAGCTTAGACTAAAAGTAACAAATCTGTAAGACAGATTTTTTTTAAAGACATTTGTTCATAAGTTACAAGCATTTTTTATATTTATGTATAAAAGGTGGATGCTTCTTGCTGTCCGGTACTGTAACAACTATACGATTGGTTAATTTATGTAGATCAAAGCATGATTATTGACCAATCAAATCAATTAAAAAATTCTTTCGATACGCGAAATAGAACGAAATAACTATTAATTATTAACAAAAGCGAAACTTTTTTAACGCTAAAGTAATTTTACTCGATTTATTAATCATTACATTTTACCAAAAACATGTTATATGTTATTACCCTTAGCTTATATTAATAGTTAGATTGCACCACCGTGTTTACTATTAGGGATCGTGGTTTTCCTTTTTGTTTGATAAATAATATATATATGTGACTTTATTCGGGTAAAATAAGCCTTGTTAAACGTTTTATATTGCTTAGCCTATTTAATAAAGGTATATTTTATTTATTTTGTCTTCTAAGCAAAGTTCATCAGAAGTGAGATCTTTTTGCATATCGAATATTAACAGTGTTCTAAAGTTATAGATATGTTTATTAACGCTATAATGCAACGTTCCGTTTTGAAAAAAGTACTTTAAAACTACCTTAAAGTTATTTTTCTTTATCTTTTTTAAAAAAAGTCACTACTAAGCTAATGTCTCTTAAATTTTAGATTATTTTAGATTATTTTTAAATGTGGTTTCCTGGCACTTAAACGAAGCGATATATATAAATATTTTCTTTTTTATTAGTGAAATGTTACGTTCTCAAAAAGTACTTTAAAGTGCATAAATAGGTTACCCGGGCAATAGATTTGCATAACAAACTTCTGTCTACGTTTGAAGTACTGAGGAAACTCAGAATGGCGCGCAGAGCATCTCGTCTAGTATCAATACTATTTAATAGAGAGAGCATTGAAACACGCCAAGGAGATCCAGGGTAACACGTGATCTAGTATTGACTAAAAGTTGTATTGCACTTCTGCAAATAAAATGTACCTACCTTGAATGATTTCTTTAATAAAGATGCCTTTATCTTTTTAAGGATTATAACTCTTTACAATTTCATTTAAGCACTTTTATATTAGATATAAATATTATTAAATAAGCCAAAAATCCTTGTACGACCACTCGTCAACTTCGTTCGTATTTTTTGTATAAACTTCCAGTACAAGTACGTAAGTATCGACAGATTTCGCTGATCTATGGCTAGTAAGATAGACTCGAACTAAGGTTCTACATTATGCGTACCCCGATCGTAGATTTTTGTTCACTCTCGCGTTATATCAACGTTACACTTGATGTTATGACCTACATATGAAATTTCCTTTTCGGATTTGTATCACTTGCAAAAGTGCACGCGCCCTGACCTTATTACGTTAGAGTTGACACGAACATGGAGAGAGTTCAGTTGAATAAGATGTGCACTTTGATGGAAAGCGAGGCTCTTGAAGAGATGAGCACAATGTTGTAACTTTAACTTATCAATTTTTCTTTCCTGCTGAGTATATGAACTTCTAATTATATAGTGAGAATACGAAACAACATTAAACTTTCATGCTAGAGAAACAGTTAGAATCACGAAAAGAAATAATATGAATAAATTATTAGTTTATTCATATATGTGCTATTTTTACACAGTAATTTTATTTTATTTTTTTAAGATCAGATAAATTGCCGATTCCGTCCGTGACAAAATCAAAATTCTGCGTAAATTCTGTGTTGTTGTAATACTTCGAATGTTCTGTACATTCTTTGGATAATTTCGGATATCAAGCAAAATTTTTTAACTCGTCCATGCTCGTATTTTAGGTGCATTTATTTTCTACATTGAAAATTTTCGGAAGCTATATTTTTAGCATCATGTGCGTACTTATAAAAGAAATTATAAAATCTACTTTCTGCGCCAATTCTGTGCTATCCTTGACGAATTCCGTGTTTAGGACCTGATACCATAATTTATGTGGCATTCCATGAAATGCAGAAAATCATCGGCCCTGTTTAGGATTCGTCTTTCCAAACAACGAAATCATGACTCATATTCTAATAACCACGAAAGAGAACCCCGGAAAAAGTCTCACAAAAAGGCAATGCATGTAAGTTTCATTACAATCGTCTTCATTCGGCTCAAGCAAGCGGATTTGAACGAAATAGGGGATTTTAAAACAAAAATAGGACCTTTAAACTCCGACTTATTTTCAAAATAAGTACTATTTATACAAGCACATAAATACATTACTATTTTGTATAGAACACAATTCCCCTTTAAGTAGCTTCTATATAATGAATACGAAGAAAAAAATTGATGAAAGGTAAAAAAAAACGAATATTCGCACAGCATCTAAGAGCTAACTTGAAAATTCAGGATATCAAGAATTACAAGTACGTAAAAAAAATGAATGACCATTAAAGATTGCAAATGTTCAAAAAAAAAACCTTATTTTCTTTTTTTACACTTAAAGAAAATAAACAGTTTTATTGTTTTTAGTTATATTTAAATCAATTTTTTAGAAAATTATATATTATTTTTATTATTAAACGTTAATATTGTCATTATTAATATTTGCATTCTGATATGAATTTGGGCATGCACTATAAAATATATAACAAGCTGCGGACAATAAGCTAAGAAAGTAAATTTTTTCATTCTTTATATAACTTATACGTACTCTCAAGATGTAGGAGTATTGTTTTTGTATTAAATTTACATAAATAGAAATAGATATGGCTACATCTTATGACTAATATATTCTCTTGTGAATATATTATTGTGCGATTAATATTGTATACACACGATTTCTATTTAAACCATGTGAACTTGTGTGTAATTGATACATCCGGATATCCGATTACGAGTTAATCAAGAATTATTCTGTTCAGTTGATAAAAGGTTTGAATTAGCTATAATGAGTCTTTGAACTTAATTTTATTATTTTAACATTTTAATCAATTTTCACTATATCGATAATGGGAATAATTTATACTATATTTTCACAGTTTGTTAGGCAAAATTTTGCATCTGATTAGTAAAGCAAATATTTTAATAATATCTAAGAGATCTGATTTTAAACAAAAAATAAAAAAAAAATAAAGCAAAATCACAATGGGAAATACATCCAGCTTATTAGAGAAAGATGATGGTGAATTAACATATTTTGATGACCTTGCGAAAGAAGAGATAATTGAAACATGGGAAGAAAGTAGTAAGACAACTGAGTGTCACTCAGAAATTAGATCTCATAAAAAAGTCCCGGAAATTAAACTTGATATAGAACGTGGAGAACGTGAAAAAGTTCAACTTAAAGATCTAAACATTTATGTGGAAAAATTAAAAGTGATTCAACGTAATATTGATATACTATTTAGAAATTGGAGAAAACCGAATCACAATTTGGATATTAAGTTTAGAGTTATTAGAAAAAATATCAAGAAATTTAACAATTATAAATTCATAGGTAGAATTATTACCTTTATTGGATGTGGCTTGTCATTAATCGGCCCAGTTGTTAGCAGTATTTTATCGTCGTATGGCTATTCTAAAGAAGCAAATATACTACTATTGGTTAGTTCAGCAACAGGTGAATTATTATCATTAGTTGGTTCAATTGTAGAATATTATGCTTCTGAAAAAGAAAAACAATTAGAACCGAAAAAGTTGGCAAATTTTTACGAGACTTTGAAAAGTTAAAATATCAGTTTAGTAATTTAAAGAATATTTCCAATTACTTATCTCAAATCATTACTTCAGAAAAAGAAGTAAACGATTCGCTTTCCGATTTTCAACTAACACTTGAAAATTTAGCAAAGAAAAATGATTTAAAAATAGAAATTCATCCAAAAAAACTCACTCAGCGACAAAATCATAGTGAAACATCTAGCAGAATTTATTCAAGCGATACGTCTAGTGTAAACTCAGTAATTGATGATGAAATTTCTATCGCATCTCAAACAAACAGTGAGAAGGAATATTTCACAAGAGAAGTTGTTAAAAACTTTTTAAATAATTGGGAAAATTGTAATGTTAACAAAGCAATAAATGATTTTACAACTCTCTTTCTAATAAACCTCTCCATAACGAACCTTAAATATAAAATTTTAATTAGTTCGGTTAAAATGAGTTATGGTTTCTTAAGAAAGCATAATAATTTTAGAAGAATAGTAGGTTTATATAGCGAACTCTGTTTTTTTTATATCCAAAATTATCAGTTAGTTATAGAGTATTCATTTTCTATGTAAAAATATTTAGAATTAAAGTAATATATATAGTCATTTATTTTTTATACAAATTTACTGTATTAATTATTAAAGCTTGGATATGCTTTGGACATTCTTGAAACTTGGACATTTGGACATTGGATATAGCTAAAAAGTCTTTGGATATCAAAAAAACGTTCAACACTGCACAACAGTATACATACTTAACACAACTGATTTTTACTATATATTAATGTACAATCATTAGGGCCAGGTTGACTACAGACATCACAATAGCAAGATTTATTGTCATGACTACGTAGAAAATTTCTTGTTAGCTACAATATACAAAATTAACAACTAGCATCATTAAACCATTTACAAGATATAAACACTAAACTTATTGGTTCTCGTTAAATATTCACTTTCTTTAACTAATAGCGATAGTCCAACATTTTGGCATAACTATCCTAACTTATTATACTGTATTATATAATTTATATAGTTACATTTTTGTTTGAATAAATTAAACTTCATTACGAGCATTATGGTTTCTTGATCACAAATGAATATCACAATAAAAGAAATATTTTATACAGTAATTAAGATTCTTAGTCACAATACATTATTTATGCTTACGAATTTTAAATTTGTTATGCAATACATATCTAATAACAATAAAAATTTACGTATCATTTTGCGATCGCTATTACTATAGATATTTAATATAGTTTACTACGTATAATTAACCTGTTTGTCTTATTAATTAATGTTAATACGTATACGTAGAATTTTAATAAGTAATTTTGGTATTAATAGATACCCTTTTTAGAACAATACAGTAAACTTCCTTCTAGGCAGGTATGGTGTCATTTGGGTCATTGAGGTCATTTACACATAAAATAAATTTATTGGTTTGATAATTAAAAAAGGTATTAGTATTCTAATCGATAATCGTAGCCCCATACACAATATAAGTTAAAGTTTTACTAAGCTAGTTCGTTATTTACAGTATGTCTTAAATAAAGTCTCGTAATAACAAATTGCATATACCGTACTCTAAAAGTTTCATGTAATTTGAATAACTCTATTGATTCACTTCCGCATTTCACATTTAAATAAAAAATTCTTAATCTTCCATAAATGCGAAAGTGAAGTAATAAAAAGTTATTCAACTTTTGGAGTATATGCAATTTATTATTTTGAAGATTTATTTAAGGCATAAATATTAACTAGCTTAATAAATTTTGACTTTTAAAAGAGTTACGGTTATTAATTACGTTTATTATATAAAAATTTGCATTTATCCTGTAACCAAATTTATTGATTAAAAAGTGTTACATAGAACGCCAATTACCATATGCTAAATGACCTTTTCAGTCATTTAGACACTCGAAATGACTAATGAATAGTCATTTGTCATTTGAGTCATCAGGTCGTTTCAAGTTATTTACCATCCCTGCTATAGTGAAATGTTCCGGTTTGAAAAAGTACTTTAAAACTACCTTCAAGTTATTTTTCTTTACCCTTTTTTAAAAAAGTCGCTACTAAGCTAATATCTCTTAAATTTTAGATTATTTTAGATTATTTTTGAAGGTGTTTTCTGGCACTCAAAATGAAGCGATATATTTAAAAATTTTTTGCTTTTTTTGTTAATGAAATGTTACGTTCTCAAAAAGTGTATAAATAAGTTACCTGGGCAATAGATTTGTATAACAAACTTCTGCCTATGTTTGAAGTACTGAGATAGCACGTAGAGCATCCCATCTAGTATCAACATTATATTTAATAGAGAGAGCACTGAAACACGCCAAGCAGACCCAGGGTAGCACTTTGACTAAAAGTTGTATTGCACTCTGCAAATAAAATATATACCTTAAATGTTTTTTTTAACGAAGATGCCTTTATCTTTTTAAGGGATTATAACTCTTTACAATTTAATTTAAGCACTTTTTATATTTAAAATTACGTAGATATGAATATTATTAAATAAGCCAAAATCCCTTGTACGACCACTCGTATTTTTTGTATACTGTAAACTTCTAGTACGTAAGTATCAACAGATTTCGCTGATCTATGGCTAGTAAGGTCAGACTCGAACCAAGGTTCTACATTACGCGTGCCCCAAATTTCACTTGTTCCACAAGCTTGTTTCTTTTATTTTATGCTATAAATTCTGCAATTTTCTGCGAATTAATAAAAATTTTACTATCAAGCTTTTTTTTGAAAAAACCTTGGCTTTCCGCTTTTTTTCCGAGGAACACGTTCGTGTCTAATTGTCTACGTCAGAATCTCCCATGTCCTTATCAACGTATACACCTGGCAAAAAAAATTCTACAAATTATGCATGACTTATGCGAAATCTACTCTGATATGTAAAAAAAGTTATTGCGATAAAAATCTAGTGAAGTTCACTCACGTTACACTTGATATTATGACCTACATATGAAATTTCCTTTTTGGATTTGTATTATGCAAAAGTAAGTGTACGCATCAACAGGAGGAAACGTCCAAATATAGATACGATTTTCATTCTCCGTTACGCAGATC